TCCACATGAAATGTCAAATTTGGAATTTGTGGAGCAATGGTGTTTAAGTCATTATTTTCCACTGGGTGTAGTATACTTGTCAACAGTGTGCACAAACAAGCCTCTGGCAGCACAAATGCAGACGTAGCTCCACATTTAGTAGCACATTTTAGTTAAAACTCCACCTAAAGCCTACACGACTTTAGGCTTCCTAATTTTTTAGGTTAGGAAACAGCTGCATACTTGTCTCTAGGATGTGAGTACGTTTTTTTTCTCTGTCTAAAAATATATTCACTTCCAGGCAAATGGAAGATAAAAAGAGATTCCTAGGCACCACAGGTCCTCATGGACAAGGAGTCAGTCTTTGTCTCCATCCCTCTGGAGAATGCTTTAGGTAATTACTGACAGCTGGTGTTGTCCACTAAAGGTCACCACTGTAGCCTTTCTCAGAGCCCTGTCATGCTACTGTCCAGCTACATAATGACCGTATGCTAATGATGCTAATGAGCGGGAAGTGTCAGAGCACTGTTTGTTTCCTGTCATCCAATAGAACTCCTAAGGGGAGAAGCAGGAGGGAGAGGCCAGATTACCATTAAAGCCACCCAGCCATTAAATCAGATGGCTCAGATCACTATTCTATCACTGTCACCTATGGTACTCCTGCCAGCTTGCATGCAAAACTACAGCTATCATATGAGGCATCACCCTCTCCTCTGCAAATGTAGTGAAACAAAGGTATTGCGTAGCCACTATGAAATATTTTAGGAAACAATTGGTGTAAGACGGGAATGAACAAGGACATTCAAATATGTGCAATGCCACAGAATCATGAATTCTTGTACTGTCAACATCCTTGTGAGGATATTAGTAAAATCCCGATATATTGCAGCTTCCAGTGAATTCAGTGTACTGCATATCAACTAGGTCTGAATGAATTTTTTAATTCATATTCTGAGTTGTATCATCCAGTTATTACCTGTCCCATATATGCAAAATAAGCACCAGTCTCAGAAGATCAAGATATGCTCTGTTCCAGTTGGGGGATGAGTGAGATACCATTCTTATCACATTAAAACATAAGACTTCACAGAGGCTAGGCATTTTCATTACTGGCAACAGGCAGGGGTTTGTTAATTTTTCCTACCTGGTTGGCTCCACTGCTGAAACTCCAACAAAAACATTTTTTTGTCCATAGGATTATTCCCTTATCTTAATATTCCCCAGGTAACAATCAGTTTGATGCTCAGCTGTTTCTGGATACTGCCTGGCAGCAACATCAGATGGTTTGGAAGAACTATATAAATGCAAATGCTTCTTTACTGTGTTTATATTAAAAAGAGAAGTGAAACAGCAAGTTTGGCACTTGAGTTCTTGTTAAAGTTCTGACTTGCTTCAGTGTTTTCAGTGGGATGTCATTACCTACAGTATGCTGTCGTCATTGGTGACACTTAAGCAGATCTGAATGTTGATATACTTGTATGGAGTCAATAAAAATAATGAAATGTAATGCACATAACAATAACGGGAGAAGTATAGTATGTCTAATGGAGAAAGGTCACAATATTCAATGTCTAACGCCTTCTTCTGCCAATAAAGACATTATTAAATAAACTGCCAAAATATACAGGTCCATATATTTTTTGCAAAAAATAGTTCTTGTTTTTGCTGTGTTCAAAAAAAATCTACCTCAAATTTTTAATATCTCTATACAATGTTACTAATGGTGATTCCAACTGGTTGAATGAAATGAAGTATTTTCCCAGTTTAAATAGCAATACAAAACATTTAACCGGCACTGTTAAATTATGCTATATTCTTATACCATGGTATAGAAAATT